TTAGGGTGTGACTTTGTTTGAAAGGAATTTATCTGTAAAGCTGTCGTGCCAAAGACTGTGTAAGGAACAACAACCTAACCAATGTGGGGCATTCTAATAACCCACACTCTCAGTGTTAGGCATTTGGAGCATACATTAAGTAAACCAGGAATTGGTATGGCTATGACTCTAATAGACTAATACTGTTTTAGAAATCAAACAACGAAATGTAGTGCTGATTACGACATGCCAATTTAGTATTCAAACAACTAAATGTAGTGCTGATTACGCACACAACATGCCAATTTCAACTGAGCTGATTACGCCAGGGCCTGATTTAGTATTCAAGGAACAAGATGTAGTGTATGAATTCTAAACTCCTTTTGAGTGAAACACTCCTTTTGTCCAGTTGTACATGAAATTACTTGGTTGGACAGAAAGTTTTACGAATTTTGACTTGTATATTATACTAATGTTATAGTAAGAAAATATTAGAGTCATGTCTGACAATTAATTTGATAAAGAAACTATCACATAACTTTGAAATTTGGATTCTTGAAAGTTGTGAAAGTAATTTAAATGGAATATGTCAAACATTATGGGACATCCCAAATTTATTAAGTGTATCATGTATATTGGGACCAAATTAATTGTAATTAGTAGGTATTATATCTTTGCTTTTGAAGATGATGTTGCGATGACACAATTCCGACTGGATTGGTGCAGTGTCAGTTTCGGCTGACAGTCGGAGTAAGTTTTTCCTTTTTAGCCAAAGGTCTAAAGAAGCCATGACACAGATGTTTACTGACTAATTTTTTGAAGCCATATGTTATGAAACAACTCACAGGATCATCTTCTTGACTGGGATGTGATCTAGATAGCCCCCTAGTCGAGTACGACAGAAAGAATCTCATCACTGTGTCTCCAACAATTTTATTCCCTCCTTGAATCCTAGAGTACAGCGTGACCTAGAGACAAACTTACTGCTCCATTGAAGTTTTTTGAACTTGTTAACGACTTCTCTTTTATTTGGTTTGCCCCCTTAATATTCGTTTTCTGAAATAAAAAGTTTCTGTTACTTCTTCTAATTTACAAAACAATATAGGGTATTAATAAAATTCTGTTAAATTGAAGACATGGAAGGCCAAATTCCCATGACAGCCTATTTGACTGAAGATGTAATGCAGAATTTGTTTTACTTGTAAGAGGGTATCTAAAAATCTTGACGCACATGATTTGATGGCATGCATTATGTACTCATGTAGATTCAATTATGGAGTTGGATAAAGTGGATTGTCTACTGATCTTTGATTCTATGATCACCGAACTAGCCAGCTCGATCTTGAACTAAATGAAAGAGTTATGCCTAGGGTTAGCATGTGTAGGCAGGGAGGTATTTTTTTTTATATGGTCAACCAAGCCAAGTGACCAGATTGTTTCTGATCTCAACTAACTAATAAAGATATAATTCGTCTGAAGGGAACAAAATTTATATAAGGGGATACGTACTGAAAAGTGGACTTACATGTTGAATTGAGAAAAAAATAGAGACATTGATTTCTGATAAGGCTTTAGAAATAGATGATGCCAGCCCCTTTATTCTTTGCATGCTCATTATTTGGTTATCTAAATGTTCTTTTTATAACTTTACCAGAACAGAATAATAAAAGAATTGTTCTAGCTCTTCAAAGTGGATTAAAGAGGGAACTGACATGGGCATTAAATACCCTCACTCTGCTATCATTCAAGGAGAAAGACGAAGTCCGCAGGGATGCGACTCCTCTTGCCAAAATTCCTGGATTGCTTGATGCTCTGCTTCAAATTGTATGTATCTTGATATCTACCACTCAAGATGATTCCCATGTAACTTCTGCTTGTTCTTTACTGTTTATTTTGTTATCATGCTGCTGATGACAATATCTCTATTAAACAGATAGATGATTGGCGTGATATAGCCTTACCAAGGGTACTTGTAAAGGCACCGCGTGTCCGGCTTTTGGGTGCAAATTCAGTCGTTACTGGATTTGGACTTGAATATGAAGCATTGAACTCGAATGAATCTGTTCTCAATCCTAGGTAATTCCTGGCAGTTTCAAAACTCCGCCTCTTTCTTTTTGATGCCTTTATTACTTTAAATCTTTCTACGTTATTTTTTTCCACTGCATGAGATCTCTGTAATGGTTTGTAATCCTGGTTCTGGAGCTGCCAACAGAGAGTCATCTGTTCAGAAGAGTTCTACCAAGTCTCGCCCCACGGGTTTGTGTTTTGAGGAAGATGGCCTATTTAATTTGGATGAGGAGGGGCGGATTGAAAAACAGCAGTTTGCTGTTGCTGCTTCAAACGTTGTTCGCAACTTCTCTTTTATGCCAGATAATGAAGTCATCATGGGCCAGCATAGACATTGCTTGGAAACTCTATTCCAATGTCTGGCAGATTATGTCACAGGTAGGAGAGAAGTTTAGTTTGATATTATGATCTCTATGTTGTGCTTACAAGCTTGCCATCTGTGATGTGACACTTTCCTTTGGGAAGTTATAACATTGATATATATATGGTTTCTCTGTTGCATAGTTGTGCTTACAAGCTTGGCATTTGTGATGTGATTATTTGTATTGAAAATGGTCCCCTCACATAATAAATTTACTACCCCTTTTTCTTAAGTCTTGATGGTCATAAGATATTAATTTTGTCTATCTTGATGTCGGCTTCTTCAATTATGCGTTGTATTTCCATTGAAAACCTATATGAATATTTCAGAACATTTTCCGGACTGCGACATAGCTTTCAGATCTGTTCAGCCTTTCCTCCTCACAAAACTATTGAATGACTCGTGTTTTTCTGGTTGATGCTTCCAATTCAAATCTTGAATTTAATGTTTCTCCACTAGCTTGGTGAAGTCTAAAGAAAGGTGTTGGAGTACATTATAAGTGACCTATCCATTGTGTAACACACTGAGTTTAGTGTACCTGCCCCGCTATATTTTTTTGTTCCTAATCTCTGGACTTAGGTTTTCCCTATTCCATAATAATGATAAACTTGTTTATCCCAGTGCGCTTCCTGGTCTTTAAAAGAACACCTTAAAAAGAAGATATATGAAAATTAAATTAGATAGGTCCTATTCTGAACAGAGAAAAAGCAATTGGAGTATGTTTGAAAAGGCTTATCTCTATGCCTGAACATGTGTTTCTGTAATTTTCTGTTAAGCTCGTATCTTATACATTTTGTCATCTTTTTTCTTTTATGTTAACAGAGGATGAAGAACTTGTCACAAATGCTCTCGAGACTATAGTGAATATAGGTCCATTGATAGATCTTCGGATCTTCAGTTCTTCAAAACCTTCTTATATCAAAATGACGTAAGAGTATCACTTGTGGGTGTTGTTTCTCTTATATTATTGTATGTCAACACTATAATTGAGTTTCTTGATCGTTATACAGGGAAAAGCGTGCAGTCCAGGCCCTCATGGGAGTGCTAGGATCTGCTGTTAAGGCCTGGCATTGTGCTGCTGCTGAATTAACTGGTCGTCTTTTAATAAATCCTGATAATGAACCTTTCTTACTTGCTTCTGCAACACAGGTTCATCTTGTTTTTGACAGTCCCTATTCTAGAATTCCTAAATGTACTCTGTGAATATTCAGAAAACCTGTTGACTTAAATTTATGGTTCGCAGATTAATAAACGTTTAGTTGATATCATGAGCCAACCGGCTATTGATGCTCAAGCAGCTGCTATTGGTGCATTATATAACCTTTCAGAAATAAATATGGACTGCCGTTTGAAGCTTGCTAGTGAACGATGGTGAGACAGGCAACCTGACCAAGTCACAACTTTTTATCAAGTTATTTTCTGAATGATTTATCCACAATGTTAAACTTCAGGGCTATTGATAGACTGTTGAAGGTGATTAAGATGCCACATCCAGTGCCAGAAGTGTGCAGGAAAGCAGCAACGATTTTGGAAAACCTTGTATCAGAGCCACAGAACAAGCCCTTCCTGCTAATGCATGAAAATGCATTTGCGGAGATGCTTTTTGGTGACCCAAGATACTCAGACATATTTTCCAGGATACTATACGAACTGACATCACGGCCAAGCAACAAAATGGCATCAGCTCGGGGGATCTGGGGCATGTAACATCAAACACACAAGGTACTTTGTCTGGTGATAATTCATCTGAAATATGTTGTTGTACATAGATTTAATTGTGCTTAGTTATGCTTTCGTTGTAAACCTAACTTTTAATTGACCTCAGAAGTGCAGTATATAGGTTTGCCATTTCTGGCCTTCATTTTATTCGAAGCTATTACAACTTTGAATCACTGTTTGCTTATACATCGGATATTGCTTACTTTATTGATGAGAATATACCATATGATTGATCAATTATTAGAAATATGTGCTGGGAACACCCAGTAACAAAGCATCAAGAAACTCTGTTGGATAATCAAATTGATCGTATTTACAACTTTAATAAAACAGTCAACTATTTATAAATTCATTCTTATTCTGTTCGGATTTTGCACCTTTGTAAAGAAATGTTAATTAATATGAATATTTTATCACAGTATATATATTAATTGATAAGTGACTAATGATAAGGGGGCACATTTGCAAAAGAAGTAGTTACTCTAGTAAATATGATCCATTTAATTTATTTTGATATGTTCAATTTGATTTTTTAAAAAGTTGTGATAATAAGTAGTCAAAACAATTTATGAAAAAAGCGTTTAAATTTTTTTAAGAAGATATCTTTTATTTGATATGTTAGGTAGTTTTTAAAAAAATTAAAAAGTTTTACAAGGAACTCAACAAACAGAGAAATTAAAGGGTGATTTAATATTAAAATAAATATAACATGAAGTACAAAAGATATAATGACTTTTAAATCAGTTTTACTGACAACTATTGGATATGTACTAGTAAACACTTCAATTTGTATAAAATTAAAATAACTGCACACACATCCTACAACACATAGAACACAAAATGACTATGTAGGACACACACATCCTACAACACATAGAACACAAAATGACTATGTAGGATGTCATGTAAAACAGAATGTGCGTATTTATTAAATTCTATACAAATTTAAGCGTCGACCAAACTGATTTGCCCCATTATCATCATAAAAGAGGAATTGCAGTGTACAAATTGTGTTATGCACTACTTGTCCTTTAGAAATCAACCAGTAGCACTGAATGAACTTGCTAAAAGAATACTATAACAAAATAGTATCATCACCTATCCTTTGAGCTCAAATTGACTTGTATTAGAAAAATAGAGCTTGAATTGATCACATTAGCAGCTAAACAACTTTGTCATCACAGTTCTCTCTTGGGGCGTCGTGTTTTGGAAGTGGAAGCTGGGCTTGATATCTCCTTAAATGCCGATGGGCAGAACTCTCTTATCGTACATTTTGCACACCGAGGTCTCAGAGGAGTACATATGGTCTGTCCAAAGCCTACCTGTTTTTATAAGGAACTTCAGGTTCGAGCATGCATTGGGCGCATATTGGGGAAAATAGTTTATCTTCTAGGGAGAGGATATGATAAACTGAAACAAGGGATAACTCATAGTAGACGGATTAAGATTTTCAATTTATCGCCTGTTTCCACCCATGGACTGCAGGTCCAAAGACACCTCAAGTATAGCTAAAGCCTAAGCTTTACTCTAGCTCGAGGTAGCAAATCAAACTTTTTCAGAGATTTGAGAATGAACGAGTATTCATATAGTCGGCTTTCATTATGCAGTGTAACTGATGGCAAAATAAAGGAGCTCTAGGTGTCAGCTAAATATATACAAAAGAAGCAATAAGCACACATTTCATATATTGATTCTGAAAGTGCTACAAAGGTGAAAATGAAGATGTAATGACCAAAAGAGATGGGAAAAGGGGGATAATCAACTAAGCTTCAGAGGAAGAATGACATACCAAAAGTAAATTAATGGAAACCCATTCTTCTCTAGGAAGCCACTGCTGCAACGAGACCCTTGTCTCTTCGGGGGATCTAGTTCCCTGACAGAGTCAAACATGTAGGAACGGAAGTGCTGTGAGATACCGGCTATTGAAATCAGAACCAAGACCTCAGCCTATTTGCAAACTGAGATACCGGCTATCAAAGGCACATCCAAGCAAAATTACTACTTCCTAACAATGTTCCACTAGCAGCCTATAACTAAAGTAAACCAATTCGTGCAAATAAGACATTGCATACGCTCCATTTTCTAGTTGCTCATTATAGCAGTGAAGCTTCTTCTTAAATAGAGTCAAGCATACCTGTTTAGTTCCAGGCCGTGAGACCCAACCAAGTCGATTGCTAACACGATGCACGTGGGTATCTACACAAATCCCTTCAACTTTGTTCCATGCCATAATCATGACCTAAGGAAATTCTATTTAAATAACTTTAAAATGTGAAGTGAAAGGAAAATGAGACAGAGAAGCATAATTTCCTACCAGGTGAGCTATCTTGGGACCAACACCTGGAAGTAGAAGCAACTCGTCCACTGTACTAGGAATGTCTCCATCATATTTAGACACACAAATATTTGCAACTTGTTTAAGGTGCTGAGCCTTTCTTGTGTAAAATCCAACCTGACAATAGCCATAGAAGTTGTTTAAGTAACTCAGTGTGAGGGAAAATGTCGGTAATATCATACACTTACACCATTTGAGCACATACCGGGTATATCAAGCTCTTTATGGTGGCTTCATCAGCTCTATCCATTGTGTCAGCACTGAGCAAACCATTTTCGAGCAGCCGTTGATTTGCTTCTGCAGATTCAGAGGGCATCATTACATACCATAGGAATCCAGAGAAGAATAACATAGCCTCATAAATTTTGGAAAATTAATATCTGACTTCAAGTAATCAGAGTAACCTCTAAGATAGGAAAGGAAAACATATATGGATATGTTACGAACTCATTCAAGACACAACCTATCACAAAGAGAATATAACTGTAGTCCTACTAAGAGATAATGACATTATTAACGAGCATCATATAGCTGAAACTTCCAACATCAACACTTGCCATGAGTAACATGACCCTTGGTCTGGCTTGATAACAATGAACCAACCAGAACAGCAAATCTTCTTTCCTGATGAGATTGTGAAGAAGAAAATAGTAATCAACATCACCATCCTATCAGAAGTGTTAAAATATTATACTAGTTTACTCGGTTAATAAAAGAAAAAGGACACTTTCATTCTCAGTTCTAGATTGTAATTTAGAGAAGTTGCTTCATTTTCTCTCGTTGAGTTTGTTCCAGAAGGACTCTAGTGTTGTTAGATGCCAGAAAATCACCTCCTGGCTTAAAAAACAAAGTGTTGTTTCACTTTTTTTAAAGAAAATAAAACACAGCCAAAGAATACAACCACTAATCAAGCATAGAAAATATGTATGCACCTTAGGTTGAAGAGAAGTCACCCCTTCATCTGGGTCAATGGAGTCCACAGGTGCATGTTCTGATAATCTCATGCTGCGTATACCTTCCATGATCCTTTCCCAGTTGGCAGGAGGTTGTACTGCATCGAATTTGTCTTACATTCCATGAGGTTTTCTAATATTCTCAATGATTAAAGGAACAGTTGCAGACAAGTAAGGAATCAAAGTCCTTTTTCTTTTAACAGCAGAAGCAACCTTTCTATATGGAGATATAGTTAATATTAATACGAAAATTATAACAACAGAAATTGTCTTGCTACTCACTTGACTCAGAATAAACATTGTCACTTGCAAAATCTTCAATTTCTGGATGCCTGAGAAACTGCAACAAGTTAAAAGAATCACATCACTCATTTCTCCTCCTGCAACCTCAAGAACCAAGGATCTATAATATTCGATATTTAAAATAATCTGTGAAGTACATAGACCACAGAAAAGATTACTCTTCACGAAATGAAGTTTTCCAGTCATTGGATTTAAGAGTACAATAAGATTGTTCATAGGAATGGAGCTAAGCCAATAATACATTAACATGAGAGTTAACTTGGCCTCAACCAATATTTTTGTCCTTTTAACTTTAGGCGTGTACAACTAGACACTTATACTCTACAAAGTTGAACAGATAGACAAATTTACATCCAAATGTATTATAACACATAAGACACGTGTGTCTACTTGTTTAATTTTATAAATTCAAATGGGACACGTACATACATAAAGTTGAAGGAATCAAGAACACATTTATATATATTATGCCAATAAATAAATATTTCAAATCAAACTTTGGCAAAATAAAAGAAGGATCACAATAATAAACATACTTTTTTATCTGGAGATTCTATCTTCACCTCTTTAGCTATCATTTCCACTCTCCTTTTTCTCACTCTGTTCTTAGGAGCAACTCCATCATCTTCAGATCCTAAAATTAACAATCTTTAATGATTTATTACATAAAACCCATCTTCATAATTTGCAAGAAAATATCCAGATTAATGAAAAGATTACAACTTTAAGCTCAAATTTCAAGATAGAAACAAGATACAAAAAAATCAAGATTTAACTAAACAAAACATTCTTGTAAGCATATTCAAAAGATGTTTCTCTTTTTTTGGGTACCTGGGGTTTGCAATAGAGGAATTTTTCGTGCTTTTGGCATTGCTGTGAAGGAGATGAATCGAACTGGGAATGGAAGTGAAGAGAGATTTGCAGTGTTTCGAAGAAGAGAGAGGGACATTTTTGGAGGGACTGGCCAGAGTTTAAGCCACGTCTCTTAAAAAATGAAAAAATTAGAGTCCACCTCGTTAGGCATCATGTAAGTGGTAACGAGAGATCTCGACTTTGAATTCTCGGAATCGCGTTCGTCAAGAAACAAGAAAGACTTTATATTCATAATCTGTTATGTTTAAAAAAATCTTAGTAGATAATTCGATTTCCTCTCTTGTAATGTTATTCCTCATTTTCTCTATTCCTACTACCTCATAAAAATTCTTCAATATTTGTGTATCATTTGAAATAATTTTTTTGGATACAAATTTTAATTCGTCTTAGTACTTTGTATTTATCAAAATTGAATAAGATTGATAGATTTATAAACTCATCCTCTCTCATTATAATACTCAACAAAGAATACACCACCCCCTTTGGTTAAATTAAAGGAATTTTAACCAAAAACATTAAACATGAAGATGAAATTTGGCAATGATGTCAGATTTACCTCAATGTCATAGCAAACAGAGATTTAACGTATTACAACGACCAAAACAACATACCTTATAAAATCCAGTCTGAAATAAACGAAGACGTTATCACTACCTCTTTTTACAATACAAAGCATAAATGATAAACGCTACATAAAGCATAGAGTAAAATAAGAGGATCATTTTTCATCCTTGAGTCGAAGATCTTTCAAGTTGATGACGAATGGCTTGAGATAGATCCCAATACTCTCAACGGCAGAGTCACTCACGGTGCCATGAAAACCACCAAAAAGATTAGAATTTCCTAAGTGAAAGTTGAAGTGCTTAGCATAAGTTGTAGTCTGGCCAAATGGTCCATAGGAACCCTTGTTGGTGGTAAATTCAATAGATTCCAAACCTTCACCGTTGACATAGGAACCACTTATGGAAGTAAGAAACTCTGATGGATAATTAAAGACAACTGCAGAGAAGTTTGCACAGTAGTGTGTGCCATGCTTATTTGACTGAACAAAGTTGCCATCCTCATACAACAGGAACTGTAGTGACTGAATTGAGTCTTTGCTGTAGGCAACAAAAATCCCAGCAACGTCGCCTCGTCCTTTTTCTTCCCATGTCGATCCATAATCGTTTCCCACTGCCCCAACTTTGATCATTTCCATATTCTCTCAACTCATCTAACCACAAACAAAATGTCTAATCTTTTATTAACAAAGAGACTTACACTTTGAAGTAGTGGTGGAAGGACTAAAGCTCACCAATTTTGACTAAATCAATAAAGCAAGTAGTACAATGTCGTTTGTCATGATATCTATTTTTAGAGTTAAATCATAGAAACTTTGACTAATATTGATGTTTCTTTTTTAGTATCATATTAATATGCAGAAAATTAATCAAATTGACTTTCGAAAAGCACAATATAATAAATAATACCGGATGGAAAAAGTATTTCACAAGCTTATTGATTGAAATAATTTTTTCTGCTTTTCGAACAAGTTAATAATTGATTGATATTTTCTTACCTAACTAGTGGAGTTTGTACTCCAATACTAATTTATTGTTCTATCATCATTATAGAAAAGTATATTGTTGGGTATATAGCAAGAATTGATGGGAAATAGAGGGAATGAGAGGAATTTGAAAAGTTGAGAACTTGAAGAGTTGAGAACTTGAAAAGTCCTCTTATGGTTTAAAGTGATGGAAAGAAAAATAGCGTCCCGTTGCTTGCCCGCCTCGGCTTCGGCTTTGGCAAATGATCGAGAGATTATTTTTTGGACAAAGTTTGTTTTAATTATTTATTTAATTAATTAATTAAATGGCAAAAAATGTTTTCAATTAATTAGTTGATAACAGAAGTTGACCGAAATGTTTCAACTTTTTAGTTGACTAACCCGATCCGACTCGGATCCACATGCAACCCGTTTTATTTGAACTTTTACGTTTTGTTTAAATTTTCCGCCATGATTGTTCTGAAAGATTGCAAACTTTCATTAATGATCGTGTGAATTCTGAAAGGGTTTCAACCTTTCAGAACATATTTTTTTTGCCTATAAATACCACTCATTCTTCAGATTATTTTCGAACGTATTTTCTGATCTTCTTTTTCTTCTTATGCACACATTTTTCTTCGTGTACTTTCTTGTTGTGGATTGATTCGCTGACAGTAGAGTTTTTGGTATCTACACTCTACTGATTAAGATCATTTTATCCTGGGAGGTTATATTCCAAATCAAACCTTGGATACTAGAGGGGAATAATTTCCATGTGAACGGATTGAGTAATTAAAATATTATTTAAAGGGAAAAGGGTCAAAAAATACCTTTCAATTTTGATTTATTTTTGAATTTAGTCTCGCCGTTAAAATGAAGTTAATTTTACCCTTCAATTACTAATTTCATCAAAATTATCCCTCATTAAACGGATCACCACAATTGACCCAAATCTTGTAAAAATTCATCATATTTTTCTGCTGCTCATGACTGGTAATCAGCTTTGTTGAAATCAAGAGTAATAGGTTCCAACATTTGTAAGAGTTGACAAACATGGATCAATTGAATTCCTCCTAAACTGCAGCTATCATTCATTCAGAGTTGAAACATTCAAACTTTTACAATAATGGTCATTTACAGTAGACAAGCATAACTCTGATATTTTTAGTTTTCATGTGCCATTTGTTATGACCAAACAATTGGCTAAATGGGAATGGATAACAGGGCATTCGATTAGTTGGGTTAATTAGGTCATCCTAGTGGGGTCGGGTCATTGGATTAAAATAGAGAATAAGTTTTTTTAAAAAAAAAAAATTTGGGTAATTTGGGTCAATTTTAGAGATTTCGTTAAATGAAAAGTAATTTTGATGAAATTAGTAACAGAATAGAGTAAAATTAACTTCATTTTAACGATAAAAATAAATTTAAACAATAAACCAAAATTAAGGAGTATTTTTGACCATTTCTCCTTTATTTAAATCCAAGACTGCCCGAGGAAGCTCCTTAAAAGAGAATTTCAAATCTAAATTACTTGTAAGCTTCATGTTCTGTACATTGTATGGCAACATATTACAATAAATACAACAATAACAAAGTGAAGTCTGAGAAGCATAGACGGTAGTATGAAGAACAATAACATACCTAGCAAGTAAATTTCTGAGAAGCATAGACGGTACAAAGATCTTACCACGAGGAACTTATTTTACAACACAGCATATATAAATGATAAAACATTACATAATAAGCCAGCAGCAAGCATAGGGTAAAAGTAAAACGGAAGTACAATCATTTTTCAGCCTTAACTCGAAGAGATCCTTTCAAGTAATTCATGGAGGATATGACTGGCTTAACATAAATCCCAATACTCTCAACAGCATGACGACTCATGGTGCCATGAAAACCACCAAATAGACGATGATTTCGTAATTCAAAGTTGAATCGCTTGCTACTACTTGTAGGCTCTGTACGCCCAAATGGTCCGTAACAACCCTTGTTGGTATTAAATTTAATAGCATCTAAACCTGTTGATAAATACCCATCGCCAATATACGAACCACTTATCGAAGTAAGAAACTCTGATGGATAATCAAACAGAAGCGCACAAAAGTTTTCAGAGTGGTCACTGCCATGCTTATTGGACTGAACATAATTGCCATTCTCATAAAACAGAAACTGAAGCGACTGAATTGTGTTTTCGGTGAAAGAAACAAAAATACCAGCAACTTCACTTCGTCCATTTTCTTCCCATATGGAACCAACATTGCTTCCCACTGGTCCAACTTTGATCATCTCAAATTTACAAAAACAAAAAAACAGGGGAAGTGAAATATGAAGTGAATAAAAAGGAAAATGAAGAGAGAGATTAATAGTACAAGAAAATAAATAAGAGAGTAAATGCACAACTACCACTACACAGCGAAATCTCAGAGACGCATCTTATCTTTTTAAGTTATTTTCTTTTTGTAATTTTGTGCATTTTTTTTTACTTACGTGACATCCATATATTTCTCACACGTCTTAATTGTGCGAATTCACGGAGTATGCCACGTAAGATAAAAGATGTAAAAAATTATATAAAAAATTAAGTTCAGAGATAAAAAAACCTTAGTTTAGTTAACGTGTGTCTCTAGAATTTTAAACATAATCTAAGGAGATACTTGTGCAATTTCTCTTACAGTAAAGAACTGAAAGTGAAGTAGTGGTGGTGTAAGCAGCGGCAAGGTGAGGGAGGAAGAGGTTTATAATGAAGTTGAAGAGGTTTGTTGCTCGTATTTGTATTGGAGTCTGATTAATTCAGATTTACGTAAATCTATTAAATCAAAACTTCTAATTAAGAGTGAAATAGTATTTGTCACAATGTTTAATGGAGAAACTTAATAATTAAGGACGGAAAAAGAATCAATCAATTATGATCCTATCGTTCGTACCGCAATTTAGATGCGTTGAATGACGTTCCCAAATAGAATAGAATATTTATCATAATCAAACCATAGTACAGACTCTTGTTGTTCACACTCTTTAAATGAAAACGACTAATCATCTTCTTTTCAAATCGAATAATTTCATTATGGCTACTCCACTATCAACTATTCGAATTTTCCGACGATATTATTCTTATAAAAAGTGCTAGATGATTCTCTAAGAGAAAATAAAAATAATAATAATAATAATAAACAGTTTATCACACAAACAACACCCAGCAAAAAAAAATTAATTTTAAGAATTAAAACCTTTACTAATACGTCGTTAAATTGTTTGTAGCTTGTTAATTGTTGAAGCTAAAATATTTTTAATAATCCATTTCTAAATAGTATTGACGACACCCTAAATATCTAGGTTCTAAGTAAAACAAATGACAAATCCAGTACTTTTTATATGAAAAAAATTAACAAAAATATATAGAAATTTTAGGAAAATAGAGTAGAGGATCAATACATATAGGTTAACCAAAACAACAAAAATACTTTGTGTAAAGCTAAATCAAAATTAGTAAATAAACAATACAAACTGTACTATATCATATATTATACAAATATAATTAATCTTCTTATTTTTCCTCTTTAACCTTAACTTGAGAATCTTTAATCTTGATCACAGAAGATGGAACATCCTTCACAATACTCCCAATAAAGCCCTTAGAATTCTCAGTGCCATGAAATCCACCAAAAAATTGATGATTTCCTATTACAAAATTGAAGTGAATATTTTCTTTGCCATCAGTTGACGTAGTACCAAATGGTCCATAAGAACCTTTATTCGTACAAAATTTTATAGATCTTAAATCAGTTAACTTTTTATTGATACGTTCGAACGAACCACTTATAGAAGTAATAAATTCTGATGGATAATCCAGCATAATTGCATCGTTCATTTCATAATAATCAGTACCATATTTACCTGACATATGTAATTCTCCATTCACATAATTCAAAAACTGAAGTGAATAAACTACGTCTTCATCGTAAGAAACAATAATTCCAACTAATTCATCTGCTTTTTCTTCCCAAATTGATCCACCACGTCCTCCAATTGCCCCAATTTTGATCATATCCATATATTGTATAGTTTTATTGTTCTCTTTTTTCAAAAATTGTGGATTTATGATATTGGAAGATTGAGTTATTATTATATATATATATAAAAGAGTTTTGATTAAGATATTTATAAGTCGTAGTATTATTTACACCTTTACAAGTATGTTGCTCTTTGATCTTCTATCTCGAAATAGGAGTTTTTGGTGCTTCGTTTCTCACTTCCAATTAAATTTTGGGCATGACCATTCAATGAATTTCAACATTTTACCAATAGTTTAATCATTTTATTTTGGCCATTGTGTCTTCCATTAATATCGACCTAACTCATTAATGACCTCCTAAAATTGACACTAATCTTCACTTAGTCATCTTAATTAATTGTTGTTTATTTTAAATATCTAAAGTCATAGTACATTGTGTTATTTTAGCACTTTTTTAACAATTAGGAAAATATATATAATCTGTATAACACACTCGCTGATGACATGTTGAAGTGACAAATTAAATAAATCACACGGTATATACATTAAAACTAATTTTTAAATAATACTCCATTTTAGAAGAATGGACAAGAAATTTAAAAAAAAAAAAAACTCCACCCACATCGTCTTCTCCATACCTCTCCCACCCCACCCATCGTCTTTTTCAAGTTTTTCCATTACCATTCTTCTTTGTGACAACATGAATCATGACTTTTGTAATGGATTGAATGGTTTAATCTCTTCGTGTTGAAATTTATTTTTTATTTGTTCGTGGCATCGTCTATACTATTTCTCCATAGAAGGAGTTCAAGTTTTGAGAGACGGTAGCTGAAAATGAGGAAAAAAATGAAAAAAATATAAAACAAAAAGATTAAATGAGTCTTTCACGCGCTGGTATTGAGTGTATTACATTCACTAGGCCATGTCAGTAAATAAAGTCAAAATAACACAACAAGACATAACATTAAATGTCTAAAATGAACAAAGCTTAATTGAAATGTCTAACTGAAAATTAGCGTCAATTTTAGAAGGCCACCGATGAATTAGACCATTAATATTTCCGATAATTTAAATGAAGCGAATTGATATATATGTACCCTTTGAGAGAAGAGATAATTAAGCGAAATGACTTCTCATTCAATTTTACATCACAAAGTTGAAACTCAAAATTATTCCCGAAATCAGATTGTCAAAATTTTGTTGACAAAAGATAATCCATATATTGTATATTATCTCTTGTTTAAATCTTACGGTGAATTACATTTAAAATAGAAGGTTAAAATATAGTTTTATTTCCAAAATTATTTTTAAAACAAAATTGAATACGGTTCAGAAAATAATTAGGCAACAAAGAGAAAAATATATGCATTTATATTTGCGAGATATCTAAACTATAAGAGAAACATACTTTAGGCACATATGAATAGGATCCATACATATATATCAATAACCAAATTAACACCAAATGAGTAATTAAAACTACTATATAGTTAAATTTTTTTTCATTTTCCTTTTCATCATGTCCTGGCAAATATTTTTTTATCAAAGAGAAAGGAATGTTCTTCAAGTAAAATCCAATATTTTCGATTCCATCACAATTCTTAGTACCATGAAACCCCCAAAAAATTGTTGATTTCCTATAACAAAGTTGAACTCAATATTATTATTTCCATCACTTGATGGAGTACCAAATGGTCCATAACAACTTTTATTGGTACTAAATTTTATTGCTCCTAAAACTGTCGAATCTAGAGGTGAGAAAAAAGACTTTTTATTAAATCGTTCAAATGAACCACATATCGAAGTAAGATATTCTGATGGATAATTAAAAATAATTGCACTATAGAATTTACAATGTGTAGAACCATATTTCTCTGAACTAACAAAGTTTCCATTCACACAATTAAGGAATTGAAGTGAATAAACTTTGTCTTCACAATAAGATATAAAAATTCCAGCTAATTCATCTCCTTTTTGTTCCCAAATTATTCCACCACGTCCTCAATTTTGGTTTTATTCATAGATAATTATTTTCTATTGTTTATTAATAAAAATAATTGGAGTAATATTGATGGAAGATGTAGTTTATTTTTTTTAATTGTATATAGAAGAGCTGATTAAGAAGTATTTTGAGTCGTATTAATTAGTATCGTTTGTTTTTCTATCTCGAAAATAGTAGTGTGATGCTTCGTTTTTATCTTTCTATTTAATATTATCGTGCGTTTAACCGCTACAACAAAATAGATATTTAATCACGAGTTAATGCTATTGTATTTTAAAGTTATTAAAACTATAAAGTTTTGATTATAAATACTCATATTTATTATTGTCATTAAATATATACTCTCTTTTTCCTGATTATTTGTCCATTTTTTACTTATTAGTTGTTCCTCATTAATGTTCATTTTGAAAAATCAAGAAATGACATTTTTTTAATCTATTATATTCTTAATTAATTATTTTGAAAAATATATAACTTTTTGAAAATCTCAAGATTTTAATTAATTTACCTTATAATTAATAAAAATAAAATGATAGACTCACTATGCTATGATAATTTTTTTTAATATATGTGTTAATTTAAAAATAGACAATAAATTAAGGACAGAGAAATATGTAACAACAATTATATTATTAGCGGCGGTGGTGAATGAATTTAATTGTTCATATTTTTTCTTTTAGACAATTCCTATTTACTTGTTCATTTTGACAAATCAAGAAAGAACAATTTTTTTTCTATTATATCCTCATTTAAATTTCTTGAAAATTTCTAAGTTTTAATTCATTCTTTTTGAAATCATATTTAATAAGGATAAAATCGTAACTTCATTGTGTTAATAATTGTTGTCTTAATATATTTCTTTTCTAAAGTGGACAACTAAATAGAAACAAAGAGAGTAAGTGATAATTGAAATAATTAAGAAAACGTTAATGATAATCTTTTAATTCTTCCTTTTTAGCAAAGTTAATAAATCGTAATTATAATAGTAAGAAACATATATCAAAGAACACTTCAATATTTAGTAGTGGAATTACCAAATAAATAAATTTATTTAATTTTTGGTTGCGGAGTACTTTTGGAATGATGATGAAAACCATCGAAATTAAACGTTTCGTTTGAACCTTTTGAATGCGTTTGGCATGAAAAACATAGTATTTATTTACATATTTGATTGATCAAAATATTTTTTGAAAAAAAATTGTTTCATAAATGACATTTCGAATTCATAATGACCTCCTCCTCGAAACCACTAATGGGAAAAGAAACCCTTCCTCCACAAGATATTAATAAATTTTTAACGTCTAATTAGATTGTGAATCATACAGATTAAGAACAAAAAGAGCTTGATATATTTTCTTTCCCCTAAAATTTAATTGAAGCCATAACCTTATACTTTTATTCATTCGACCCAATTTAACACAATTTTTTACCCATCTAGAAAAAAATAAAATATTTTCAGAATTGTCAACATGCTATTTTTAC